AATGTAGGTAGGGGCCTTAATAATTAGAATAGGGCTTTGGGGTCCATTATACTCTAGGCATGTATTGGTAAATTTTTTGGGCCCCTATATTAAGCCATTAAGCCGGGAGCCAACGTCCATCACGCTTAGGGTTTAGGGTTTAGCTTTGGGTCCCAGAAAAAGCTCAAAGTTTCGGCAGCTTCGGCTGCAATCGTTTCATGATTCTGCAGTCTGGAGTTTAGGGTTCAGGGTTTAGGGCTTAGGGGTTTAGGGTCTAGGGTTTAGGATTTAGGGTTCAGGGCCGAAGGTGTTAGGGGTTCGAGTTTAGTCTTTAGGGTTTCGACTTTCTGACATCGCTCTCTGAGTTGTGTGCTCCACGCTTGAACTTCGGTACCTGCATTGCAACATCTGATGCGTCAGGGTCTGTGGCCAGAGACAAACAGGCAGACGGACAGCAAAGCAGGGAGGGCGACGGAGAGAGAGAGAGAGAGAGACAGAGAGAGAGAGAGAGAGAAACGACAAGAGAGAGCAGATTCCAACAAGCAAGACCTACAAAAAAAACTTTGCCCACAAAGAGCTAGAACATGACCTCACTGCTGCAAGGAACGGTCTGGACCACAGGATCGCAGTACGCCCTGAACTAACACTCCACAAGATCCGACATCGTGTTGCGCCGGTGATGGGAAGGTCATCGGCGTTCCCTAAACCCTAAATTGCCCAATCTTGCCTTGGGGTGCTCAGCTGCATATGAAACCTGAACACCTATTTCCCAAGAAGACCACCAAGAAGACACCTTAACAAGACACGTAAAGTTCGTAACAAAGATTCCCCAAGAATTACCACCCCAAGCCCCACCCAAGACCTGAACCAATCCTAAAACTCTGAAAATCTACCCACCCCTACACAGCCCTACAAACTCCAAACTCCTGAACCCTAACCTGCAACCCCTGCACTCCCGAATCTCTCAGGCTTTGGGCCAAACCCCTAAAATCTACGAAGCCCCCATAGAACACCCTTTTAAGCCCCTAAACTCAAAGAGCTAAGCTCGAAGCTCAAAACCCCTAAACCTTAAACCCTAAAGCCGAAGCCCTAAACCCTCAGCCCTAAGCCCCTCAACGCAACCCTAAAACCCTAAACCCTAAGCCCAAAACCCAAAACCCTAAGCTCCAACATCCAAGAGAGAGCTCCTGCGACTCCTTCGAGAGTTGGCTCGACTCGCGTCTCGCCTTCTTTGGGGGGCTCTCAGGCGTTCAGGCTTTAGGGTCTAGGGCGTTGTGTTTAGGGTTTGGGGTTGAGGCTGTAGGTAGGGTCTAGGGCGTTGTGTTTAGGGTTTTCGGGGTTGAGGCTGTAGGTAGGGTCTAGGGCGTTGTGTTTAGGGTTTTTGGGGTTGAGGCTGTAGGTAGGGTCTAGGGTGTCGTGTATCGGGTTTGGGGCTTAGGGTTTGGAGTTTAGGGTTTAGGGCTTGGGGTTTGGAGTTTAGGGTTTGGGGTTTAGAGGTTCAGGTTTCGGAAATCCTGTGCAGATTTGGTGAACGCAACCACGGGTGGCGCTGAAACCACGCCACCTGACGCGAGTGTAGGGGTCGGAATCCGTAGCTAGTACTACTAATATCAGCTTGCTGTCCATACGTTTAGGGTTTGGGGTTTAGGGTAGGGGCCGGAATCATTCGTATCAACACCCTGGAATCCTCTTACATTCCGTATATACTTTCACGATACTTATCCATGCGCCTACAGAGTTTGGGCTCAGACGTGGATCTTGCCCTGGAAATCTCGCTCGGAGCATGAGCATGCATGTCGGAAGGCGCTGGCACCGTGCATGACGCCTTTTTGTCCCGACTTGAGCTCCATCCTTTTGAAACTTACACAAGACTCTCGGAAGCTAAGCAACGCTGAGTGAAGAGTAGGCAGGGGCTCGTGCTGTCGGAAGCCAAGCAACGCTGAGTGAAAAGTCTGCAGGGGTTGGTGCAATCCGGTTGCGGGAGTGATCGAACCTTCAAGCATATGATGCCGCATTAGACCCCGTGCCTGCCCGAGACGTGGAGGCAGAGTCGGCGTGACATTCGCCAACATTTTTTGCAAGAACCCCCTCTCACTCAGAGGCATAACACCGCCCTGAGAGAGGGGTCCGGATCCAGAAGCTCCCTCACTCCTTGTACCACTTGCGTGCGTGGGCCGCGTAGGTCTCGGGCGAGACAGCCTCAGGCAGAGCGGCCATGACTTCTTCAGACGACTTGGGGGTTTGGGGTTGAGGGGGTTTAAAGGTTTAAAGTTAAGGGGCTGAGGGAGTTCTAATGTTTAGATTATTACTATTATTATTGTTATTGTTATTAGTATTTCTATTATTATTGTTATTGTTATTGTTATTATTCTATTCTTACTATTATTACTATTTTTTCAAGATCCTTGAACCTGAACCGCCTCGAAGCTCGAAGGCTGGGAGTGGGGCCTCGACGACGATGGGCATGAAGCCGTGGAGGGTTCCGCACAACTCGGAGCACTGACCTCGAAACATCATATTAGGGTTTAGGGTTTAGGGTACCCTAAACCCTAAACCCTAAACCACAACTCGGAGCACTGACCTCGCAACGGCCGCGAAACATCTTTGTTGCACTCTTCATGTCTCTCAGAGTTTTGGGCTTTGGGCTCCAGGTTTTGGGACCATAAGGTGCAGGCAAGCCGAGCTCATCACAGGCGTCACAAGGTCTTTTTGTCCGTCTTGCAAACTTGAAGCCAAAAGCTTCAAGAGTTACCAGGTACGTGCTTGGGCCCGCACCATAGAACACTCCCTCTCGCTGGATGAAGGTGTTGATACCTGCGACGTGGCTTGCGGATGAGAAGCCTGACTAAACCCCAAACCCTGAACCCTAAACCCCAACCCTAAAACCTAAACTCTAAACCCGAAACCCTAAGCCCTGAAACTCGAAGCACTCGCCCCTTCCACCCCCCGAATCCGAGACCCGGCTTCGTCTCTCACAAAGGGTGGGGCACGGTTGATACGGCCCGGCGTCGCGTCCGTCTTCAAGCCCAGGGATGGAATGGAGAAGGAGTGGATCACATCCTGTTCCGGCGTTTTTGCTAAGGAATGTTACCGAAGTTACCATAACAGGGATCTATAATAGATAAGGTTTCCTTATTATGGCAACTTTATTTAAAAAAAACCTTAACAAGAGCTCAGTCAGGCAGGGCACACCTCAAGAAGTGCCCTGAGCCTTTGTAAAGCCTTTCATCAAGCTTTCGAGAGTTCATACTTGGAGGATCACGGGACTTAGCAATCAAGCTATAAGTACCTAAATTGGGGTTGGACGTATTATAACTATAACTGTAGTTACCCTACGTATAACCCTAGAAGTTTTTGAAGCTTCGGAAAGGTACGGTTCAGAGTTTGGGGGGTTTAGGAGTCCCTGTATACTGGGTCCCGCTAGCGAGGGCCTACTTGTACGTTATCCAACGTTGCACACTTCGTCTGATTGCTCTGAAAGTGTCCAAGAGCTATCGCGCATTTTGGCAGTTGCAAAAATCGCACATCTACTGCCAAGCACACAATATCTAATAGACTCTAATGGAAAACAACAACAAGAACACTAGTATTCTTTATCATAATAGTTAGCATCATCTTAGCAATAGTAGTGATAGTAACATTTATAATCATATCAACAATGCCATATGATTAGCAACAAGGTTCTATTCCGAGTATCCCGGGGCAGGACAGTTTGCTTCTTTTGGGTCTTTTTTGAACCCCTTTTTGGTGCCCGCCCGATTCTCCCAAGCAAACCCAAGGCACATGTGCGGCATTCAGGGCTTTGGATTGCAGGGCTTGGGGTGTAAGGGTTAGGATTTCAGGTTTAGGTTTACTGTGAAAGGTCTGGTGGTAACTACCCGGAAGGTACTCCCATCACGGCAACACTTCTCAGGCAACCCCCGCATCTTTTCCACTCCCCCAAACCCTCAAGCCGCAACTCCCTACAACCTAATCAAAATAAAACCTGAAACCGAACCCCAAATCCTTATCTAGGCCGGTAAAACCGGACGGTGCCGTCCTGGCCGGTCACCAGAAAGCGGATGTGCGTTCGCGTCGGCAGCGTCAGGCGTTTGTCCACCTCCGCGCTTGGTGGGTGTGGATTTAGCGTTTCGGGCTTTAGGGCTTTGGGGTTTGAGGGTGTAGGCGGTTGAGGGCTTCAACATGGTACTCTGACTTCCGAGTCAGCTTCAAGTGGTCAATGAGCAGGGAACAGCTGTTGCAGTTCCTGGCGTTGTCAGTGTGCCGGCTGAGCTTGCCGCGTGTTCACGGCCTCCACCTGAACCCTAAAAAATAAAAATAAAAGTATTGGGGCCGGCCGGCCGGAAGAGACCGTTGAGAAATGTTGAGAACCACGGTTCTCTCTGAGGTCTCTCCACCATCTGAAGCCACGAGCCCATGCAGCAAGCTAGACTCGATGAAACCCCTCTCTGCACACAGAACCCTGCCCTGAACCTATAAGGGAATCTGAAGGGGTGTTAATACGTTTATGCATGAAACCCAAAGGCTCCAAGCCCAAAGATTTTGGGCGTCCAGGGCTCGGGGCAGTGGATGGTCAGAAGTAGAGAAGCTTTCTTTGAAGCTGGCTATGTGGGGCCGCAAGATCTGCTGCTTCCGACCCGGCTTTAAGGTTCAGGGTTGGTGGCTTTAGGCCTTGGATCTAGGGTTTAGGGTTTAGGGTTCAGGGTTGGGGGCTTTAGGGCTTGGATTTAGGCTTGGGGCTTACGGGCACTACGACAACTTCAAGCTCTGCACCACTCAACTCCCAGAGAGCCCCGGGAAAGAGCCCCGCTGAACCCAAAACCTTCGCACGCCCCAAAACTACATCTTCATGAACGCAATCGAGGAAATCATGAGGACAGAACTTGGATGGGGAGACAACCTGAAGACATGGACTACAGCAGTACATGTATTCGCCATCCTATACAGGAATCTTCACCGAATGATGCCATACCATGCTACAAGTCACAGTGTACTGTGACGACATACATACTGATTCACCAGCTACACCCGACTATGCAGCAGCCTATCATACACTGTACCACCTACTTCGCACAATACAGGGGCGTGAAGAGGCAGAATAGGCTTTTGGGGGTACAGTATATTGGGGGGTATGGGTATAACCCTACGGAATACTGTCGCTATCTATGCAGACCCCGACAACCTGACAGAACCCTTTACAGAAATCCCGCAAGGAAGACCCTAAAGGAATGTGTAGGCTTCTACATTCACACTCACCCTTCAAGCCGGCCTCGAGTCCGCTGCACATGCCAGGTTTCAGGTCCTGCAGCAAGCGGACTTAAACTCCGAGCTTAAGCTTAACATTATCTTAGGGGCTTAGGGTTTAGGGGTTTAGGGGTTTAGGGTTTTAGGGTTTAGAGCTTAGGGCTTGGGGAGTCCTGCACCCTATCAAGCTTGAACCCGTCACCCTATCAACCCTATCAGCCCTGTTATCAAGCCTATGAACCCTAAACCGTAGCCTAATTGCCGCGTTGTTCTGCAAACTCTCGATCCAGATTTTGCGATGCCCTAGCGATCTCATGGTTTCCTTCAAGGGCTCCTTCAAGGCCTTACAATCGCTCTGTTAAGGCTTCTACCTACGGGTTCCTTTAAGGGCTCAAACGAGCTGTCATTAGCGCCTCTCCGGGGATTTCTCGAACACAACGCTCCTATGAGGGCTCTATGAAGGTTCTTGATAAAGAGGCCCGGCTCGGAGCGGCATGCAATCAATGCAATCCTCATGGAGCTACCTTTGGCTCCAAATCCCACACCCTAAACCCTAAACTCCTACTTCTAAACCTCACGGCCTGAGTGAGACTGTACCGCAACTCCAAGCTTGGAGCCCTCAATCCGGTGCAAACCCTCAGCCAGAACCCCCCCAAAACCTTACACCCTAAACCCTAAACCCCAAACCCTAAGCCCTAAACCCTAAACCCCTAAACCCTAAACCCTAAACCCCAAAACCTTACAACCTCACCCAGTCCTTTGCACCGTAGTACATGCAAGACTTTAGGGCTGACGCTGCACAGCGCGCTTTGGCTTAAAAGGGGTTTAGAGTTTGGGGGGTTTGAAGGGTTTAGGGCTTAATGGGTTTAGGGTTTGAGGGGTTTAAAGGGTTTAATGGTTTAATGGGTTTAATGGGTTTAGGGTTTAGGGTTTAGGGTTTGGGTTTTAGGGTTTAGGGTGTGGCTGGAGGGCTTCAGGGGCGCTGGGGTTACAGGGCCTCATCCGCCACCATGTTGCTCTGGAACTGGTAGAAGGTGGGAATCTCGGCACCTCAGGGTTTAGGAATTTAGGGCTTAGGGGTTTAGTGGTTTAGGGTTTAGGGTTTAGGGGTTTAGGGGTTTAGGGTTTCGGGTTTAGGGGTTAGGGGTTGAGAGTTAGGGTTTTATGGGTTCTGCGCGTGTGCGTACGAACATATGGGTACACTCATGTTACATAGTTACATAGGTGCTCTTCGACCGACCGAATGGCCTTCCAGATACTTCTCCGGGGTCGGGTAGTCCTCGCAAAGGAAGCTCACAGGCCAAGGGCACAAGCTGTTTAGGGTCTAGGGGCTTTGGGTTCGGGCGTTGAGGGGCAACAGCTCCGTGCCAGATTGAAAAAGTTTAAGGTGTTATTACTACTATTATTATTATCATTATTATTAGTATTATGATTATCATTAGTACTATTATTAATATTATTATTAGCTCAACACAAAGCTTCGTGTCCAAGCCTCGAACCCTCGACCCTGCCAGGTTCGAAGGTCTGAGAGAAACATGCTTCACAGGTTGAAACTTCGAGGCTCTGGCTTCGGAACGGTGCTTAGCTTCGCTGCGAGAACTCCAAGGCCATCAGACAGGAAGGGTTAGGCTGGTTTGGGAAGTTTAGGCTTTGGGGGTACGGTACACAACTTTCCCGAACCCCTGAACCCTCAACCCTAAGCCCCCTCGACCACGTCCTCAGCCTTCACGTCGCGAAGCTTGGCTTTGCGCCTATCGCCGGCAAGGTTCTCGAGGGCCTCCATCGCAACCCTCAAATTCTAAACAGATGAAGCCAGGGAACAGGACTCTGCAAGAATGTTCTGCGAATTTTAGTTTAAACAGTCCTGCATTTCCATAGTAAAGGCTGCCCTTTTCTGCACCGCAATTACGTGCGTCTTTGTGTGTGTTTATGCATGTATATGCACATGCATACTCACGCACACAATGTGCACACACACACACAACATATATATATATACATGCAATGCGCTAACACCCACACACAGACACATACACTCGCAAATCAGATCATGCGTAAGCGAATATACGGGTGGTAACTCTAACTTTGGGTTCCTGCTAGGAAACAAGGAGCTTGCTTCATCAAGCAAGATGTGCGCATGATAAGAGCCCGTACACCTTGGTTTGGTGCCTACGGCTCAAGGTTTTGAGTGCAAAAGTATCCCTGGCTGCACAGCCGACGGCAAATATCTCGCTAAACTTCTCTCGGCACGGCTGCTTAAACCCTAAACCCTAAACCCTAGACCCTGCACCCCAGTGGCGGTCGAGAGCCCACGGCACAAACCATCAAGCGTCGAATACCTAATGTAGGGGCCTTAATAATTACCAATACTATTTTGGGGGGCCCTTATTATAATTATAGTATAATGGGCCCAAAACCCTATTCTACTGATTAAGGCCCCAATATTAACCCCAAACCCAACGAACCCTCCACTTTGCCAAGCCTTCAAAGCCTGTTGTAGGATTTCAGGATTTTCAGGGCAGTGGATGGACCCCTAAGCCCTAAACCCCATCATCCCTAAACCGTGGTTCGTGCTGGAGAGCGACAGCTGCAGTTGAAATCCAATCCACGGGGTTCAACGCTCGAAATTCCCACATAATGCTACAGTATTCTCATGGCAAGACCAAGCACTCTTCAGGTAATATTATAATATTACAGTTTTCGAACAACTAGATGGGAATAAATACTGCAAAAGTACACGACTCAATACACCAACGCACGACTCCGGATGAGGGAGGGCACCGGCGCCGGCGCGTCGACGTTGCGGGCGGCCTGGCTTCAGCTTCTGGGATGCTTGGGGTTTAGCGCCCTTTAAGGGCGTTTGGGGGCAGTTTGGGGCTTAGGGTTCCGGAGGTTAGGATCTTAGGATGGTTTAGGGTTTAAAGGGCGAACCCCAGGTCCGAAACCGGAGGAGGTGGGATACCCGTGAAACTACTATGAGACAACGATACGAGTTACTACCCATACTGCAACGTTGCTTGAATAATACTGTAATACGAATGGCAAGACAGTTTCATGTGGCAGCTACGTCTAGAGTCGAGGTCCGTTTGAGTAGGGCCCAGGGTTCATGGCGACTGCCGGCCGTGCTAGTAATAACTAATGATGCTTGCTTGGTACTGCCACAAGACTACCATACTATTCTGTGTACAAATCGAGGGTTGATCGATACACTAAACCATAAATCCTAAGCCCTAAGCAGCCGAAGCCCTAAACCCTAAGCCCTGAGCCCTAAGCCCTAAATAACCCTAAATCCTGAGCCCTAAACCCAAAACCCTAAACCGATCAGGGCGACTGCTGGCCGTACCTGCGGCCAGAAGACGGACTTCAGAGCTCCCAGCATCGCCTGAGGCGCTCCGGGCTTATCCGGGTTCCTTTCAGGGAGCTGTAAGGGTCCTTGTTCAGGGTTTAGGGTTTAGGGTTCAGGGTTTGGTTCTTGCAGGGATCTTCAGGGGTTCCTTTAAGGGATCTAGAAGTGCTCTACTTGGAGGTTCCGGGGTAGTTATAATGGTTTAAGGTTTAAGGAGTTTCGGGTAGAGGGTTTAGGGTTCGGGTTTCAGGAGGTTCATGGGTAGTGTATAAGTGGGTTTACGAAGCCTACCAGTCCCCTGATATGGGCTGTCATGATAGCTTCCCTGCCTACACTGAGAACTACCCATGAACCCCCAAGTAGGGATTCAAGGCTGTGTCGCTGACAAGCCTGAGAGGGCTCGACGGTAATCTGCATGCCCCCTAATGAGATGAACCGATATGTGGGCTGAACTGAAGTGTAAAGGGCAGCACCGGAGAGACACCATGTTGCATCAAGCTAGGAAGAAATGCTGGGGCTACACGCCTCGCACCTTCAGAAAGGGCTATCAAGCAATCGCTGCAAACACCTCCCATTTCTTGCATGCAAGACCGCCCCTGTCATTGAGACCCTAAACCCTAGACCCTAAACCCTAAACCCTAAACCCTCATTGAGGCCGCGGCTGCAGTTGAAAGAGCAAACGGCGAAAAAGTGGCAAAGAGAGCCTCTCCTCAACTGTTTGCTTGAGCCGCGATGCCACGCACTCACTCCCTGCAGCACTGCAAAGGCACCCAAAGATTCCTGTGAACGCCGCAGGATTCAGAATATCGCGCTTGGGTGTTTTGTTAAGAAACCCTAAACCCTAAACCCTAATTTTTTTTGTGAAGGCTAAATGCCCAGAAATGGGAGTCGAGGTTCTCGGCTATCGGACACAATCAGAGCTTCAGGGTTTAGGGTTTTGTGAAAGCCGTAAACCTGAGAACTGTAGAGCTACCAGGGACTAGGGTCTAAGACCCTCAACCCTAAACCTTAACCGAGGAAGTCAACTTTATCTGGAATGGGCTTCGTGGTGTAGCGTTACTCACTTTGTAATTTATATATATATATATATACATGCATATATGTATCTCTCTCTCCGTATAACCAGATACACTTAGTACAATTCTGGAAACCCGCACAAGCAACTTCGACAGCTCTGTCAGACCTGGCCTGCTGCACTGTCTGGCGGTCCACGTCGAATCCGAAAACGAATGAAATCAAACTTCCACGTGTGACAAGCTTTGACCCTACACCCTGGAACCCCAATTTAAAGCCCTACGAGTAGACCCTACACCCCTGAACCCTATACCCTAACCCTAAACCCCCATACCCGCCACCCAAAATCGAGCCTCTATCAAATCCTTCTGCAAGGCTTCGGATTGGTCCCGCCTTTGTCCACGGTCTAGGGGTTAGAGGATTAGGGTTGCGGGATCGGGGTCTAAGACTAGGGTCCAGGAGGTTTAGGGCTTAGGGTTTAGTGTGTTTTGGTGGCTCGGAGTTTGCCAAGTTGGGTCTTAGAGTTGTTGGGGGGTTCAGAGTGCAGAGTTGGGGGTTCGCATGTTCGCATCGGAATGCCGGCCGAGAATGAATGGGGGGACAGCTATTAAAGTATGTGTGCTGCGTCATGGTCGACCTTAATACTCGCAGATGGGGCACCGCATTGCTGCCTTCTTTCAGGATGCCGCAGCATCATGCTAACAAGGGTCCGGCCTCGAAAGCAAGATGCCATTAACTATAACCGCACCGGTCGAAACAGGAAAGCCTTGCTTCGGACTGCTCCGTTTCCTCGCGAAGACCCTCCTGATTCCCAAGATGCATACACTCGCTAGCAGAAAAAGCTAGCGTCACTTTGCTTGAGGATTTCGGGTTTGCCGGAAAAGCATCCAAGCACCGAAGTCTCCAAAACAACTTCACAGTCGCAACTACATGAGCACACATATGTGCGGCCGCTGCCTATGACTCTGATCTCACGACTTTCCCGGATTGGCATCTCATCAAAACTCTAAACTGAAGCCTAGACCCTACACCCTAAGCCCCTAAGCGCAAATCGATCCGGGTTTTGGGTCTGCGACGCATGTCCCCAAAAAAGCTTCCGTAAACCACAGAGCCCAAACCCAAAAGCTTAAGCTACACCCGAAATTCTTGAAGCCAAATATTATATTACAACTCTGAACCCAGACCCCAAAACCCTCAACTAACTAAGCCCTGAAGACCCAAAACCCTCAAACCCCAAAACCCTACAGCACTCCTACGGCACCCTTGTTGAAGCCCTTGAGGGAACCCGAAAAGCAACTCCAAGACCCAAAACAACCCTAAACCCCAAACCCTAAACCCTAAACCCTGAACCCTAAACCAAACCCTGAACCCTAAACTCTAAACCCTAAACCCTAAGCCCTAAACCCCAAACCCTGAACCCTAAACCCCAAAACAACCC